GAACATCCAAAAACGAATTTCTTCGCCAGTGGAATATTCCCAGGGAGGTTCGTAGGAGGGGTTGCAAACGGTCATTAATTATTTATGTGCGGTAAGACGTAACGATCTCGACGCGTGTCGGGGCTTTTAGCGGCTTCGGCAAACCTTCTGTCCAAAGGTCTCCACCTTTACACCTTCTCAGGGAATATATAGTGGATGACTTTATTATGTGGCTGAACCATTTGCACCCTTAACGAGATTCATTTTTATCGTGGACCAATAAGTCGTTGATCGACTTTGTTTTCTGATTTCATTTGATTTCTCACATCAGTTGGAATGAATATCATTTTTCATGAATTTTCATTAATTAACAAGGGGTATTTTTTAAAATAAAATTTTTATAAATGCATATGAAAGAATATAAAAATTAAAATATATACCTATATTACGATAAAAGTATTCATTAAAATAATTATTATATGTATATGTTAATGTTTCATTAATTTTGATAGTTTGATGTTTGATTGAATAATTTTTTTATGTATTCCGCTTTGTTTTCAGTATGGTTGTAAAGAGTGTTAACATCGTTTAATCTTGTTTTTACATTAGAGTTCGATTTAATTAACACCGTGACAATCCGATATCTCGTATTTACAGGTATCGCGTACGATAACGATGTGTGGACAGCTTTCTGTTCTCAGGAGATGAAAACCCTTGACGATTAAGCTTCTTATCATTCTGAAAACATTAACATATGCTTCGTGGCTGTAGGATTAATAAGGCATCGACGAAATCGATTGGAATATCTAGAAATTCTTTCGCAGAACTTTACCATTTTCCATTTCAAACGTAGAATTTCTTTAGATTTTCGAATTCGATCTTGGACCCAAAAAGATTAAAATATTTTCAAGATTTCTAATTAAGGCAGTGTATTTTAATTAATAGAAAAGTGGGTGGTTGTTTGAAGATTTTTAAGAGGAATGGTAAAAAAAATGGCGTCGTATGGAAAGACGTGGAGTCCCTGCGTATCGAGCAACTCTATCCTGGTACAAGGGATCAACATGAGCTTAACGGCAGGCGCCAATATACCTAGCTACCCCCTCACCCCCACATACCGACCAACCCGTCAAGCTGTGGTATTAAACGGGGCATGCGTGAGGTCCACGGTGGTTGGTCACGTGTACGTTTCCAACCACCCTCGTTCTCCACCCTCTAACCGACTGTACGCGTACATTCTTACGATTTTCAAGGAAGTGTTGCCTTGCCGAACATTACTGAGACAATTAAATTAAGGAACAACATGAGAATATCGAGGGTGGTTCACATCGTGAAGACTTTGTAGTGTGGGAGGTTTAAAGGGGTTAATGGAAATTTCACAATTGGTAATTTGGGAATTGGTCACTTGGAAAATGGTAATTTAGAAATTTCTAATAGGGAAATTACTAATTTGGAAAATGGTAATTTAGAAATTGGTGATTTGGAAATTTCTAATAGGGAAATTGCTAATTTGGAAAATGGTAATTTAGGAATTGCTAATTGAAAAATTGGTAATTTGGATAATTTGGAAAATGGTAATTTGGGAATTGCTAATTTAGAAATTAGTAAATCATTGATAGATCCATTGAAACGTGCGTTATTAGGAAACTGATTTGTAGAATAATAAGAATTTTAAATTTTTCCATGAACCATATTAAATAGATTCTCAGCTGCTAGATTTTCCTGTCGATCGAATCGTGAATATTCTACAGAGAATACGTGGTAATATTGAAATCGAGATAATAAAAAATTCCTTTGGGTACCAGACGATCTATTTGCAATCCTTTCGAGAAACGAATCAATCCGTAGGATCTCGAACGATTAATTCCTCGCTCGCAGGGAAGCTGCAGCATTTTCTTTTTTTCTTTTTTCACCCCCCCTCGTCGTTTCACGCCGGAATTCCTGCTTTTCGAAACGTTCCCTTTCTCAATTAATATTTCATGTTTAATATCGCGAATATTTTTATTGCGACTCCTGTTGAAACACGGATTCTTCTCTTTTTTTTTATTCTACTCTCGTATTGAAAAATTGTGTGCAATACATCGATGCAATTATATTTCAATTGAAAAATGAGAATTCAAGTTACTTCATTTCTTTTTTAATTTTGGTAGGTGGTAAATAGGTCGAATAAATTGCAAGACGTATCCTAGTTACTTAGGAGACGAGACGTGGTACGATGTTTAAGGGGAGATGTTTCTTTCATCCCTTCGTTGTATTCTGCAAGATTTAATTAAAAATCGAGGGAACCGACGCACGAGGGACACTTCGCCTTCTTAGACTCATTATTTCGAATTTAAAAAGAATCTCGAACGGTGTTAAATTCAAATATCATAGATTTCTAACACTTTCAATTGCTCAATTAAACCTTCCCTTATTATTCCACATAAATAATATAATTTTAACTTCAAGTAAAAATTTCTCAATATCAATTTACAAAATTTTCCTTCGGATAATTCAACGACCCTTGGAAAAAATATTTCCTAAAAACATGTATCAATAATTGTGGCGAATATCCATCGAGAGGTACAGCCTCTTTCTATATCTGGCCTCTAGCACGTGCTGTAGCATTGTATAAAGCGCAAGCCTCGGTCCTGTAGTAGGAACCTCCCTGCTCGCCTCCTCGCCGCACTATTGACGGGAGTTTTAATAAAAGTACCCCCACCAGGATAGCTAAACGTCGCAGTGGAAGGACCCGGTGAACGTGGAGCCAAGAAGATATTGGGTAAAGCAAAGATCGTAAGGACACTTACAGACATCAGGCCCGACGAAATTTCGGAGGAGATTGAGACCACCGTCGTCCAACCCAACCACCCCCTACCAAAAGAGTAATCGTAATTTCAAAGAGTCAGATTACCTCCGAGGGGATGAAAATATATCGTTTTATTTTCACTCCCCCAAGGATGCTATTATTTAAAAAAAAAGAAAAAAATAACGCCACGAGATAATCACTCCGTGTTTCGAGTGACCAACAGTTGCAATGGCGTCTCAAGTGTCCCGACGTTAGATCACGAACGAACGGATATTGCTCAACGATTCGGTAAGGCAAATAGAAGTAACAGAGGGATTAAAACAGTTTGTGGTCAAACACAGAGGCTTTCCAGAAGTGAATGGTAGAAACGTTGGATCGTTCGTGCGAGGAAGTACGCGATGGGTATTGTATAGGATCCACGGGAACAGGACTCGTCTTTCTATGGGATCGACGATGCGTCATAATAGTCGAGAGTGTATTCAAAGGGTGATTCGCCACCTTATATTACGCGGCATTAGAGCGTGTTCTCTATAGAAGATTCACGGATCGAGAGATTCATTTTTGGATGATCGTAGAAACGTTCGAGATCAACGTGTTGACTTTCGATAGACCGGAGGAAAGATGATTTATCGATAGAGAATACTAGAAAGGTATACCATAAACCTGTCGCTGATGGAAAGAGCAAATCGAAACACCTGTGATTAGTCCACGATCAGAAACGGCACGGTTAATCGATAGTTGAGCAAACATGTGAACTTTGTAGCTAATACCGTGTCAAATCTAGCGGAGGGTGATCGGTTAAACATGTCAGCTGTGTCCACACCGATACTTTTTCAACCGTGAACTTTTAAACATCCGAATGCGGTTGATTTATTGACTCGTAGATACCGTCGGACGATCTCCTAATCATCCTTGTTACATTATAATATTTTAGTAAGTTCCATAGGGTTGCAAGTGGATCTATTTTGAATAATTAAATTTTGCATCGATTAAAAAAAATAAACAATATACCGAAAATTAGTCGCTCAATAATCGCAGATCGTTTAAAAATTTCATTCAAATTATCTCGCGAAATGTTTGAGAACCACCGTGAAATATTTTCAGGGCGCATGTCAGTCGTTCTGGGGGTGGAATATCAAGGGTTTCGAGGGCGGAGCCGTAGACGTGTCTCATGGCTACGATCTGCTATTCCCTCTTTCGTCGTTCTTCGAACGATAACCTTTAACCTTATCACCTAGCATGGCCATTAAGTTCGACCGAACTTTTGGATGCAGGTAAAGTTCATTCGGTTTCGTGAAAGTTTCACCTTTCTATTTACACTATCGTTCTATGAATATCAAGGACACTTGGTGAGTTTAAAACGACAGCGATACACGTACGAACATCGTTAATCATTATTAATTGCGTTTGTAATTATTCTTTTGGTTTCAATTGTGTCTAAACGTGTACCATTAACACAATCGTTGATTCGAAGAGTCGGCTTATTGTTAGACACTTACAACTTGCAATTCTTGTTTCGCCAAATTAGAGATACAGAAACTTGGAAATTTTCAGTTCAATTCAATCCCTATAATATGCTTCTTTATAAATATCAAGGGTTCATGTTGTAAGGGTTGTAACTAACTATCTCTCCTCTCAATATCACAGACAAATACCTCCAAAACGATCAAAACAACAAGCAGATCGTGTCGCGATATGAAAAGCATGTTGTTTCAGCTCGGATAATCGGTAAACCGATCACTCTGCATAATGTGATTTAAACGTCACCCTAACGAGATGAACCGCCCCAATGGTTCGATGGTCGCAAAGCTGAGGGTGGCAAGGGTGGGAAACGATTAATCCGTGACTTTCCGTTCGAGGATCGAGATATCCTTGGATAGGAAACGAGACGAGGGAACCAGCTGTGACAGGGCAGCGGCTGCACGTACAATATCGCCGTGGCTTTTGGGGGATCCAAGATGACGGTCCCTCCTTCCTTTGTCGCGTTATGTCCAACGGGGTACACGCCACCTCCACTGGCGTCAGCTTGCAACGCAAGAAACAAAACGGCTGACCCTCTTGTTCTACGTATCAGAAAAAAAAAAATATACACTATCCCTTTGCGATAAGATCGTTAAAGGTTCCATAAAGACTCTTCGACTTATTATTATTGAAAATTGCAATTAGTTTCCATCGAGGACCTATAGAATTTCTTTTTTTAGGATTTGTTTGATAGGTGAAATATTTTACAAGATAATATTGGATCACGTTCTTTTATTTCGTTCACTTATGAATCTTATTCTAGGTTTACATAAAATGTAATTACTCCATACAACTGTCGTTACAGTATGTTCGCTGACAAAAAATATATATTGCATGTATGCTACATCCTCTGGTGTTTATCATCGAGGTGCGCGATTATGTGACTGGGGAACGTATCGTTCGCAGACACGGACTCGATGGGAGAAAAAATACATCTTCTGGGTGCTAAGCTCTTCCTCAGGGTATAGGACATTACGAAGTCCCTTGATTCGGAACGAAAAGGTATTCCTCTCGGGTCGATGAAAGACGATTCATCGTTTTTCAAAAATCTCAACTTCTGAATTTTTTTCATTTTCATTTTTTTAACAAATATACATATACATATATCTATCATCTCTGTAATAAAATCTTGCAAACGGGTGCAAAATACTTCTTATCTTCGACAAAGTCCAAAAATTAAAGACAACGTTTCTTCGTCTATAGAAAACTATATTCTCTTGCCTCTTTTATTCGTTGCTTTAAAAAAAAAAGAGGGCAATCATTCCAAACTCCTCTGGCCGAGTAAATGCATAAAATACACGTATCTCCGATGGAGACTGTCGTCACATTGTGTAATATCAAAAATGCGGTTCTTCTTTATCAATATTCATTCGAGGCTTCCGTCGAAACCGGAAGTCGATAAAAATATTTACATCCAAGCGATACGGTTATTTACACGCGTATAGAAATACATTAATCGTTTTATAGATACAATAATATAATCTGTTGAAAATTAATGAACGGCTTAACGTCATTATACGCAAAAGTTTTCTTCCTTAAGCGATTAATTCATTTTCGACAGACTATAAACAACAAGTACATATTGTACAAGATTACAGAACGTTTTATGATCGTTAAACAATTCCAGTGAGATTTCATAAGACAAAGATTACACTGCTCAAAGTAACTTCAGAGGATCAGCTGTTTCAATGACTTCGTTTCCTGTTAAAAGACTTTTGTTAGCAGTACTTTAAAGATCGTTATAAATAATCTGTTATCTTTACTTTCTTTTGGATAATTAGATTTACATAAAACGTTCTGTACACTCGTATTTCCTCTCCTCGAAACATCTGTCCTTAAATAAAATTCAATTCTATATATTGCACCCTCCTTTACATTTAATATAAGGACGATTCGACAGTTGCAAATGGAAAACCGTAGCCAGAAATAAAGTGAAATACGTGGTTAATTCGTTGGAGGAAAAATATGACGCTCCTCCGACGAATATTTCACTGTGGCTTCGTTTCAGTTCTAAGAAAACCAACCCCTCGTCCTTCGGTCTTAATATTTGCTGCGCTCAATATCCTCAAAGGACCTCCAGGTTTCCCTCAAACATACAATATTTGCTCCTTGGAAAATTCTTCTCTGAAACTGTAAGGCTAGCAATATGCTTCTTCATTTGTTTATTATTCCATGTATCGTTTACATCCCCATCGAAGAACATTACAACGATTTCATTTATTCAACAATTATGGAAAGAGGTTCCTCGGAAATGTCAGTTCGAGTTTACAATAGAAATAAATAATTAAAAGATTTCGGTACACCATTAAAAAATAATTGCAACTCGGAACTGATTCACAAGCGGGTACCTCGAATCATAGACGAATGAATAATTTACAATTATTTTTGGTGTCAATTTGCTAATATCCTTAGGAACTTTCGTTATCTAGTCAATTCATCTTCGTTTCTGAAAATATCATCTGGTAAGGCAAACGACAATCAGCTCTTATCGAAGATACCGATCCTCAGAGACTTATCCATCGACTGGTCTCATAAAATTTCCAAAATCAATTTCATTATAAGTATCTTTCACAATCAAGGCCTACGAGCACCTTAAAAAGACACCATAGAGTCTCAACAGAGTCGATCAATGATCAACACTCTTTTCTCTCACACATTCGAAGCATGTGTGTGTTCAGGATTGACCAAACAAGATTTACAAAACAGGGACGCATTAGACGGAACTGGTTTTCGGTAGAGGTTTCAGCTTCAGCTCTCGACGTTGTTCGTGGTATTCTTGAAAACAGGGTACCAGGCAGAGGTTGGACTGGCACTCTGGACAATGGTACTTCGTTTTCCTTCGTAGTGTCCTGCCATGGGAGTCCGTGGTCTTCCAACAGTGGTTACAGCTCAGTGCTGGACCTAGACGTAACACTGGACAGTGTCCTAGACGTTGATCCCCTGTGCTTTCCCTTGATTCCCTAATTGGAGTCTGTAAGAAATTTCAAATAAGTTTAGTGTTGGAGAAGAATAGGAGATACCAGATTTCCCTAGGTGCCCAGGTTTAATACTTGCACCTCTTTCATAACAATATTCCATACCTGAGGAGAGGAGGAGCTTCTTCTAAGTTCCGAGGTCTTCACTCTGAGTCCAGAGGTCGAACCTCCGGTGTCAGTGATGATGTTAGGCTCCTCCGAGCTGTCCTCTTCCTTTTTGACGACAGGCGCAGGTTCCACTACTATGGAGGGGCTGATGGTCCTCCCGGGTAGCTCTGGATTCGAATGCTGCCTGTGAATCCAGTAATTACCGCTGGTAGACTGTTGTTGACTAGATAGGATCGGATGAGAGTGTTGTTTCATCAGGTAGGATGGTTGAGGCACGGTCAACAGGTTCGTCGAGGTGGAGACCGTCAACAGGCTGCTGGCTTGGTTCACCGGCATCGATTGCGGTGGCGACGGACAGATTCGTGTCTCCTCCATTGTTCTCGAACTCTGCGGTAGAGTCAGGGTGGGCGTAGTGTGCCCCGACGATGGCACAATGTGCGGGGACGTCTCGCTATCTGGTGACAGGTGATTCGGCTCCTTCTTCACACGGGGCTGACGGGTCAACAGACGACACCTCTTCACCCCTGTTTGCCTGCAGGCTACTGCAATTGAAAGATGCATAGCTGGGGGTGAACATTCTGAATTAGAGAAATCATTGATGGGCAAAGGGAGGATTTTAACGTGCAGGAAATTGTTAATTTCTTCTATGATTCTTTTGGCAAATCAAATTATTGCTTTTGGATTTAACTATCTAAGTGAACAGAGAATTTGTAACGTTTAATATGCGGGCACAGATGTATCGTTAAATGAAAAAATCTCGATAAAACTGACCAGAAATAAGTTTAAATAATATTCTTCCTTCAGGTGATTTATTACAGGCGTTATACATAACACTGACACATTAAAACTCGAGCCTCTGCATTATAAAATTCGATAGTAATTTAAATTCATTTCTTTTCATTTCCTCCCTCTTACTTTCGGGGATGAAATATCAGTGTGTAAGAGTATACATTGCTATCAACATTTTTTTTTTTTTAACATCCTATATTTATATCTATCGTTTTGTACAAATATTTTTTAAAAAAACAAAAGAACAAGGATAACAATGGGTTGGATATTTTTCATTATTACGCGAGATAAAAGAATAAAATCGTGTTCTAAATATCTTTCAAATCATTAATTAAAATAAAATTAAAAAATAAATTCTCTTATAGACAATGATAGGTTTTCTTATCGTAACTCTATCTCAATACATGCATTACTTTATTGTTTTTCCTTCGTAGATTAATGGATAGAATAGAAAAATACTTTTGTACAAATTAATATTACACATATAAACGATAGAAGTAATAATGTTTAAACGATGCTTCGCTTTTCCACGATTATCAAGAAATTAAAACTGGGATTCTACACTTTTAACTAATATGAATCTGCACGTTTATATTATACCCTGTAGTTTGTTGCATCTGTATATAGGGTGTATTACAATTCCAGAGAACGATTAAGATAAAAAGTATTCAATTAAAATGCTTTCTACACTAATAAAATTCTTAATAAATAAATACATGGACAAAGTGTAGAAATTTCAAGAAAATTTTATAATACACCCCATGTAAAAAATGGAATTTCTTAAATAGAACAGAATTACCATACAAGATTTCATACAAGTTCAATACCCAACAATTGGTTGTAATACATGTATTGACCTCGATCACTTTGCTGTGCAAATACACATTGATATATTTTTTTTTTTTTATATTTAACTAGTAAGTATATCGTACCGCTACTTTATTCACTATGTACAAAAGTTTATACGACGTTGTGTACGGACTAAAGTTGGTAAAGTAAAATAGTTTCACTATCCGCGGCACTTTGTGCACGCAAAGGGCCGATTATTGCACCAACTTTAGATTACATATCGACTATCCTCGTTAAAATCGATTTAAAAAAATTTTAAAAAAGTGATCAATGTCTATAAATATTTGAATCACAAACAAGCAAATATATTCGTTCGCGTCACACGGTCACCACCGTGTTCCCTATCACATGGTGTTAATTTCAATTTTCAAACGATATCGTTTAAACTAAAGGAACCTATTCCGGAACTTATATCCGTCTGCCGAAACATCCAGTACTGGACGTTACTATTAACACAAATGCATTGTTGTTGTACGCTAAGAACTCGTAACAGCTTCTAATTTTAACGAAGACATAAAAAATTGTCAGAGGAAGTATAGAAACAGGTAACCAGCTGTCTACACAAGAATGAAATAAAATTGATAGTCCACGAGCTCTTAGCTGTACAACATTTACATAGGTGTACCCTATTATAAAAAAAAAAAATCTCTGCAAAGTATAAAATACAACATTTTGTAATGTCCCCTTTTAACTAGAGATCTCTGTATCATACCACAAGCTTGCAAAGTACACTCTGGTACAACGTAGACTCCATCTGACTAACAATAAGTGTAAGCTTAGAGGGTGGAGGCACTTTGGAAGAACTTTGGGAGAACCTCCTTCCCCTACGTTAACTTTGAAGCAAGGAGAGTCTAACTTGTACCCAAGTGTACTCGAGTACAAGAACATTCGAAGATCGTGTGTTTCTGTTCGTTCGACGCTCAACAAATATCAATCCTTCTTTTCCAGCCGTGTAACTCAGCCTCGCAGACACGTTGATCTAATACTTTTCAAGCTCGTCTATACAATTAGTCACGTGCGGCTGATCGTGGCCGGTTCACATCGCGTTGTAATTGACACCGTGTAAATTGATCGGCATCGTGGTACTTGGCAACGCATAATCTGTATGCCTGCTATCGATGTAACCACTTAACATTGTATGAGGACTATGAGTGGTCAGCATGGTATGCGTGCTGTGGGTATTGTGTGTACTATGCGGTGTAGTGGGAGGTCCCATAGGCGTAGGGCTCTGCGAATTAACCGGTTGCGCCGATTGGGCTGGGGGCGGTGAGGAATTCACTTCTTGCTTGACCCTTGACTTCAAGCTCGGCCGATTGTTCGGGTAACCACGCTTTTTATACTCGAGCCAAAGTGTTCGATTGTTCACACCGAACATACGTGCAGCTTTACAGAACCCTATACCACCGTAACGTACTGCGTCTAACGCCCTGATAAAGTTCTCATCCGCCTGCGGATTCGTTGACCTTTTCCTCTTAATTGCGGTCTGCGGGCTGGCACAAGGACTCTGGCAGTTACTGGGACACTGTGCCGACGGTGAAGGGCCGCCCGACGACGCGTGCTGCAACGTCCCGTGGGAGGAGTTCGGGTAATTCGTCAGGGCGCAACTGGAACCAGTCGTGCTGGTACCAGAGTACTGATCGCTGATCGCCGAGGAGGCTGTTATTTCGGGCGTGGTAAAAGCTGATGACGCTTGGATCGACAGATTCGTTTGACACGAGGACAGAGCGAAACGTGGATATGTATGCTCCATAATAGTCCATTGCAATCCTGTGGAACAGACCGGTTCATACTTTGGTCAGAGCACAGGAATTAGTTTCATACAGACTATAGATGTCTTTTCTTTTTAACTAATTACGTGTATGAGATGTATTTTTTTTTTTTTTTTTTTTTTCAATGAAACACCTTATCTCTCTTAAATAACAGAACTATTCAACAGAGTTAGGCAAAGTGAAATTAAATATTTGTGTCGCATAATAAGTAGGTGATATTATTTATTAGAAATTAAAAAGGCAATTCGGCAATAATTATTTAGTAGAAGTAAAATTATAGAAATGGAAAAAAAAATTATCTAATACATATGAAATGCTACTGTGTGTGAAAAGAAAAAAAAAACAATGCTAAGCTTTAAGCAGAAAAGAATGAAGAAGTATTTGTAAAAAATGTCTGTGAAAATAATGATATATATATATATATATGGGAATATTAAGAGCAGAATCTTATGGCATGGCACAGATACATTTTAAAGCACATTATTTATTCATTTATTTATTTATTTGAAGTACAGGAAAACAAGTGTGTACCACTTCACCAAATTAAAGGACAGAGCAAGGCACACATACACACTCAACAATGTTAAAGACCCAATTTGACTGTCCTCTAAAAGAACATTTTTCTTTTTTTTTTTCTATACATTGTGTGCTATGTATCTGTGTACCATGGTGAATTTTATGAATGAGACTAGCCTTAATTGAAACTTTACACTACTAATTTTCACTTTTTCCTCAATTTTCGCTCTATTTTCATGTCAAACGTCTGTTGATTTTCCTTGTGCAGTACATTTAAACGCATCTGTGCCAGCATATAATGTGTATAAATTTCACTTGTCGACATGCACTTTCAATACCCACCACACTTGCTATAGATCGCGCTCAACTACGAAACTAGCAGGGTAACTGTGTGAGAGAAAGACATCATGCATGTTTCAAATTAAATTATTGCCGTTTGTGCACAAATAAGAAAGGTAGGGTTTCTAAAATTGGTGTGATAAAAATTACAGTAGTATTGAAAATTCTTTTATAGTACAATCAAAAGACTGTTCTATCAGCAAATTATAATTCCATAAATACTCTGTATTATTACATGTGCTTCCTTAAAGAAACTGCTACCTGAAATTGATTTCAATACTTTTTCCTGCTACTAATTTTTATATATATTGCACTTCAGTATGTAGATCAACTAAACGCACGGTAAAGAATTACTTACCTTGATGCGCAGGTGGTTGCGAAGAAAGCGAACTTTGCGCCACATTTCCTCCTGATTGTTGACTCACGTCTTGTAAAGATCCATCGCTTTGTGCTGGCGTTGTTGCGGAACTGTTCTCCATGTTACTCATCTGAAATAAATTTTACTAAAATCCCTCCCTTAACATCGTGGTATCGCAAAAAAATCTACAGTACAGTTAGAAGCATCGCTATAGTGGAATTTTGCTTACAATTGATATCTGATCTTCATCTATGCTTCCTTGAGATTCGGTACTAGTATTTATCGGTCTTCTTAGACTCTCTCCGCTTTCTTGAGACACTATTAATGGTTCTGGTTTTACGATATTAGTAGCGACTAAAGTGATTTCATTCATCTCTTCTGGTTTGTCACCAGACCCAGATGTTGAGCCTGTGGATGATTTCCTTAACCTCTTCCTTCTAAAAGAAGGTGATAACGGAGAGGGACTAGGTGAACAAGATTCGCCGCGATCTCCTCCTCCAGGCTCGCTGCTACCACTCGGCCATTTGGTTAAAGAAGCGGTATGCATTTCTGCCAGTCCTTTTATTTTCAAACTCTCTGCAGTCTATGATAGGAAAGGATAAATAGAATATGATTAGCAATACTTCTTCAAATATAGAAATTTTTATAAGTATCTATGTACCTTTATAATTGATGGTAATTGATCCTGTGATATGTTCACCTCACCATAGTACATAAAGTCAACCATGATTTTTAAATCAGAAAATTTTACATCCTTCAATATGACAATCGGATGCTGACATGGATTCACAGTAAACAATGATTGGAAATATGTGCTGCAGGCAGACAATACAACTTTGTGTGCCTGTAGGTGTCTTCCTTCAGCAGCCAATGTTACGTCTACCAATGTTTCATTGTTCAACAGACTTGAAAATACAGAAATAAAGTTTGGCTGATGGTTGTTCCATCGTAAACAAAACTGTTGCATCGACATTTCAGCAAGTTGCCAAGTTACAGCCAAAAGCGATAATTAAACCTGCAAAATTATTCATTATTTAGTTCCTTATAAACTGGGTAAACATAGAACTATAAAATATCCTTAAATTTATTTTAAAAACATTTTTCTTTGTAAGCATTAAGTATTTTACATATTTCCCAACATAGGTGTATTAAAAAAAAAAGAGCAAGTAACTTATGATAATGTGTTGGTGACTGACGTTAAAAAAAATGGCATCAAGTGTAAACAAACTGTCAACGAAATGCTTGTTATTACTCGTAAAAGAACGGAACTTTTTTAAACTCATAGCGATGTTTAAACGTGTCTAAACTAGATCGGGAAACTCGATAATGCCAAAAGCTCGAATGAAATTCGTCGGTTCATCTTGCGGTCAAGTTGTCATTCTCGAAAAATACAGAAACTATTTGCCGAATCATCAAAGGGTATAGTATAGCGTTATTAAAATGCGAAAATAAAAGAAAAACCGCTTAACAATACAGTTAGAATCGCTTAGTATAACAAATATAGATTTGCATGAAGATGATCACGGAAAAATATAGGCAAATAGAATTGCTCACTTCGTTCAAACGGGATTCTCGGGGGAACGAAACCACTGTAGGGAACGTTCACTGAACGGTACAATATGGTTGAAAAATCCGCCGTTTTAATTTTTATTAGGAAAAACAGAGTTAGTCGGTGCTGCCATGAATTCGATGAAATTTTCCACAACAGATTGAGCGATGACGCTTGTGTAATTCACAAATGACGTCATAAACGAAAAATTACGATCGTACAATGGCGCGCGATGGTGAACCTCACAAAAATTCTCACGACGGATGTTGATATCGTAACAAATTTCTTATACAGTCGACAAATACGCGATCTTATCAACATGCGTCCTTAGAAAATTTAACTTGATCAATATAGCGGCCAACTTATAGAGACATCTATCGAGAATCTGTCAAGCACGACCATCTTTTATATCATGGAAATTTTGTCGGTATTTTCAATGTCTACGTGGATAAAGAAACAAAGACAGATATAAAACACTTGTACAAGACTTTAATTTAAATGTAATTACAGATTTCGTTTCCTTAGATAGAAGTTGAGAAAATAATTACACTGTTTTTATTACATGAACTAGTAGGCACTTATTTACAATCTATAAGCATTTTGGACATGTATGGACCATCCAGTTCGTAACCCATTTTTCTGTAATAGTTCCTTGTTCCAACGCCTAAACAGACATGAATATATCAATGACTAGGAAATGATTAGTTTCATTAAAATTCATACCTGATATAACAGCTATTTTGTGTGACTGATGTTCTTCTCTGGCTATCCGTTCAGCTTCTTCCATTAATAACATTCCAAAACCTTGATGTTGAAACTTTGTAGGATCACGGGCATTTACAGGAACGACGCTGCCATAAACGTGAAGTTCTCTCACTATCGAGCATCTATCTTTAAGTTCTGGTCTGTAAAATGCACTCGACTGATACAATTGTTTTTTACTTTTAATTTTTTCGTTAATTGCTGTTTTACCTAAATGTCTCATTGGAACATTTCCTCAATCTCAATAATCCAACTAAAATATCTTGCGTTGGATCTTCGTACGACAAAAATGTTTCCCATCCACAATTAGCAACATAATCGCGACGTATAAGTTCCACTTCGTAAGGTTGTATTTTATGGTGTATTTCTTGGATTCCCACTTCACGAGTTCTAACATCTCGACAATCAGTTCCCAAGTCTTTCATTCTTGCCAATGCTAATTCACGCAAATTTCCATGTTCTACACCCGAGCTATATATTAACAATTAGGTTTCAGCAAAATAAGAATGTTATAAAGTAGAAGTAACATACATGTATGTACTCTAATTAATGTTACCTGACTAAAGGCATAGGTATATCTCTTTGTACACGATATACACGAGTCCAAGGTGGTATCAGAGCCAAAATACGCGCTATAAGATCCACCAATACACTTGGTGAATAACTTTTGTACCTTCCAGTTTTCCATAATTCGTACAAACCCGTACCTCGTATAACGAGTGTAGGATAAATTTTTAATCCGTCTGCTCTGAAAGCAGGATTTTCAAAAAATTCCTAAGACAAAACAAACTTTGAAATGAAATATCTTAAAAATTTCCCAGGTAATTTACTAAGAAATTTCACTTACAATAAATTGATTGACATCTCTTTCAATATCAACATTTGGTAAATCAGGCATCATGTGTGCTATTACTTTGAAACCAGCATCCTTTGATAATTGAAAGCTCTCGCATACTGCACGAACAGTATGTCCTCTGTTAGTATCTCGTGCCACATCTTCGTATACCGACTGTACGCCAACTTCTAAACGGGTACACCTACATCAAAATTTTTCTCCTCAAATATAAGATTCGTTTCATGAATAATACTACGGTATACATACCCGTAACGTAACATATCGGATAGGTGTTTTTTAAGACAATAGTCAGGTCTAGTTTCTATAGTGATTCCAATACATTTCGTTCGACTTCGTTCGGAATATTTTACCGCTTCATCAACATTGCTGCTGACATGGCCAGACAATGCGTCGTGTAAATTTCGAATGAAATAGTCTCTGTAATCTTCTGGCAAAGCCATGAAAGTCCCTCCCATAACGATAAATTCAATTTTGTCTACACTGTGTCCTAATTGCTTCAACTGGAATATTTTTCATTTATTATTTAGTACAATTTTGGTTCTGCAAAGACATTTAATTGCTGATTGGTTCTACCTGTTCAACACGATGTCTGGTTTGTAGAAATGGATTGTACCTTGCACGTATGGCTCTCATTGATGTTGGTTCATAACCAGTATATGATTGAGTAGAATATTCAAAATCAGAGTCAGGTCCACCAGGACAATATACACAAACATTCCCTGTCATATTGATGTGAGGACATCTATGTGGCTTGCACATTACAGCCACAACAGCTATCTGTTGTAATTTGAAAACCATACTTTTGAATATATGGTAATTATAAAAATATTCTTAACTACATAATACTTTAGAATACTAACTCCACTAGCAGTCCTAATAGGTTTTGCTTTTAATTTTGGTACCAATATACTTCTTGCATCACTAGGTACAGCTGATATGATATCAACTAATCTAGGTGAGGATTCTAAGCCATACTTGGAAGCAATTCTAGTTTTTAATTTATTTAAATCAACATCTCTGTTTGCTTGATGTGCTTTCAAAAGTTCCTGGATAATCTCCCCTATAGTCATAACCATACGTTCCTCTTTACTTTGCTCAAATTCTAAAAAGGAATAGAATGCATTTAATAAAATAATTGCTTTCCTTTCTAGTATAAATGGTTTAGGTTGAAGTATAGGAACTTACCTCGTTTCTTTCGAACCATGTTAACAATTTGAAACAACCTTTAACAATGATAATATATTCAGTGTCTTGTCTGACAGCTTAAAAATCTTTAACCAGTAAATCCCACATGGTATTATTACTCCTATTCGTATATTTTTGCCTTTCGTGTATATAACCAGTGACTACAGATCCAAGAAGACTAAACATGCCTTTGTTACCGATGGGACGCCATTTTTGGGGTACGCGGTACCCCAAGATTTGGTTTCCACAGTTGATATAACAGTTGTCTGTTTTACTAGTTCTTCTCTTACCATACCTCGGTAGAGCATGCATGGCACAACTACCTTATTGTTCCTTCATAAGTTGATAGAGTGCGGAATGAGTCTGCTCAGAGAAGACTTTCGAAATTGTCGGTATTTCAGTTTGGGTGAGCCGAACTTATGCTAAGTGATCAGTCTATCCTATATCTCATCCGTGGTGACACCGCTGTTGCTGTTGCTCAGTGAACGTTGTCGCTCGCGTTGGAACGGTTCGTGTTGTGATGAGTGTTAGTTTAAATACGAGTCAATCTTGGACGCGCAATTCGGCAGGAACGAATTACCGCGTGTTTAATCAGCGTTCTAACAAACACACAACGAGAACAAAAATGTCAACCAAGGAGTGGATCGGTGAACGTTAGATGCGAAGACATTTTGTACGAATCTGGACAAGCGACAGTCGAGGGAAAGGCTGTAAGGTATCCTGGCGCCAAATCGCGAGGGGGTAAGTGAATTCCTTAAAATGGCACGGGTTAGAATTTAGGTTAGGTCCTTCGTACGAAATTTCTTAATATACAGTACTTTATTTCTTATAATTTTATCGCATTACACTGCTGCTGGATAAAAGAGTTTAAGATCAATGATATTATGAGTGAAAATGTCACTTGTAATGAAATTCTGCATTGCATAATTGGCGCGTTAAATAACAACTGATTCGGTTTGATATTTCGTTGAAAAAGAGTAAGATTTTAAGTAATTGTACGTTGTGTACCGCTACCGAAGATATGTCATGCATAATGTTACGTTGTTATATAAACAAAAAGGGAAACTAACGTTCGCTATTGCAATATAGTAGTCCTGATACTGTAGTGGTTTGACATATGTATTTACATTGAGCTTTCAGTTTTCATACAGAGGCATACGTGTGTTAACTTTAATAATTTAATAACTATAATTTCTTTTCCAAATATATACAATTATATATGTGTAACTGTATTATCCTTTTCGCAGTTAAACTTACACAATACGACACTTCCTGTCTCCGATCTTGATTACGTTTCCTCGAGTTGACAGAATTCTTTGCTAAGAGTGATTGTTTTCATTTCATTGCGCATTATCAAGCAGTAAGATAATATCTTTCACTCTCGAAAGCTGAAAGTCTCGAAATTCAATCTGACGCATATACATTACATAGACGCAAAACATGAAACTCGTAATTTATTATTATTCTTTTTTTTTACGTAAGAATTTTCCATTATTTATGAAATTTTGCATGTAAATCTAATTTTCTGACTCTCACTTAAGCAACGTGCAAGTGGAAAGTAACGCACCAAGTTCGATGACTTCTATCGATATAATATATAATTTCTAATTACATCATAATTATCTCTTAATGCAAAACGATAGTTATAAAATTCATTTTCATCTTATCTTGCTTTTTGAGCATCGATAAAGATAACACGATATTTATGCGACGCACCGGGTGCGTCGTGCAGAGATCTTGATTACCGACTGGAAATTATGTCCAATGACCTCTCGGCGAAAATTCTGATTCACTTATTGTTAGTGTTTATCAAAGAATATAAACGTCCATGCGGTGTCTTTGTTCGGTCGTGAAACGAATATACTTGATTTTGGCTCGGCGTTGAACAATATATTCGCAAAGTGGCTAGTAGTCATGAATTCGTCTCCGACCGGCCAATTGGACGACTCGCGATCTGCAGCAAATATCCGGCTACTATTATTAAGTTTGTCCTTAACGATCGTTACGGGTATCGTCTCGCTACCATTAGCTGCCGTCGTACGAATGGCACCGGACCCGTTCACGCAGTACGCGAGCCTATCAATTCGTGATCCCGTGTCACTGTGTTTACGTCATTCCTGTTAAGTGACTCCAGGATTGTCTACACGGAAGTCCGTAGGTAGTGTGTAGTGTTCTCGAGGAGATCCTGAGGGAATTGTGTCGCGAGGATCTCCGTTCAGGTAAGCTCCTTGTATTAACAAGGACCATAGCTTAACCAGCTTAACTGCGGAATTTAGTTTCAAAAATCCCTCGTGGGATGATTGATTAAAATCGAGCAACGACGAGTATAAGGTGTGTCGATATAATCGTTTCAAAATTCATGTAATCCCCTGTTATCTCGATGGGTTTAGAAAATAGTGTCCTTCTTTGATTATTTGACAATCGTATTGAGAAAGTTGTATTTTTAGCTCGGTTTGGTAAGACGCGCTCAGGTGCATCTTTTCATCTTTATCTTCCGGATGAATCATTTCGGCTCGATATTACACCGGTGTTTCTAAAAACTATATCGATACGACTCTATCGAATGATACCAATGCACGATGTGGGTTATCGTCCTGGAAGGATTAAATTTCGTTCAGGTTATTGTTCATTACGCCACGGTTAAGTGAACGCGACTTGTATTGATAAATAAGTAAGTACCGTCCAACAGGTACTTGGTACGTATCAAAGCGTTCCACGATTATTATCGCGCGGTTGTTTTATTCAAATAACACGTTACACGGATGATGGACTTATACGCATATTGGTAATTCGTCATATTATCGTTTCCATACGCCAACGCCCAGCTCGATAAGGGATCGATCTGACTACGATTTTAAGTGTGGAACGTTTTAAGATAATTAGTTGGGAACAGTGTTTGCTCCCCTTACCAGATGTAGTAACGGTGTAACCTCCGAATTTATTGACACTGAGATGTGGGCGATCCTCTCGTAATCGCTAAAAATATAAAAAACTGACTCCTATCGGTCTATCGGTTAAAAAGGAACAACCCGTTGCAAGATCTCTTTAGAACGGTTGATTCTTACGTAAATTGAAATAGCTAGCAGTTACTTGTTCAATATCTTATCTATACAACAATTGACGCTAGTCGAGGCAACGTTGTTGGTCGGAAAATTATAATTGCAAAGTTTCCTTTGCTCGCGCGAGTACGGCAAGGTTTCGTATAACCAACCGGGTAGGCTTATTATTCCCATCCTTCGTCTCGTTTTACCTCTCTTTTTGGATCACCATGCTGAATATTATACGCTCTACGTATATTATGGAATTTGCATCTTTGTTCACCGAAGTAGCACGCTGCGCGTCGTTGCGCTTACCGGGGAATGTTCAGTGTTATGCCCCGTGCACGCCCACACGTGCGCGACAGATAAAACGTCGCCGCGTATGTGCGTGGAACATTGACGGAAAGTGGGACACTCTTGGCTGACCATGAATTTCTTGTTAAGCCTCGAGGATTTACGTTTAAGCGTCCTATCGTATTGCATGGAATCTAGATAGAAAGAGGATTAATTTGAATGACGTTCAACAGACATCTACCATTAATTCACGTTTATTGTTTCTCTCTGAGCGAACAGTTGTACGACCACTCGAAATAGCTGTCTCGTGAAATTTTTTAATATTCCCGGACAATTATCTTTTATTTACCATTTTTATAAAGCACTCGGGATATTAATTCAAATATATACAGTGGGCTGCAAAAGTATTCAGTACCATTGTAAGTTAATTTGTACAGCTTCACAAAAAATCTGAAGTCATTTTTAAACGGTGTCCGAATACTTTTGCGCCCCGTTGTACATAGGGTCATTCTCCTCGGGGATGCCTAGAGGCAAATTATGTAAATAATTGCCCGAAAAATCGATTACTCTCAGCTATCCTAGTGATCATCAATTGAGAACCACTATATCAAAGTAAATCTGAAAGATCGATGGACACTATCCAATTGCTCGACACGGATCGATACAGTTCTGAAACTCAATTCCGTGACGAAATTGGAATGTCGTGTTGATTGTCCGTTGAGCAAAGTTATCGAGACTTAAGGAGCGTGCATTGCGTTTAACGGGTACACCCGTTGATATGTAACTGACGACCATAATGTCGTAGTTACACGACATTGGAATTCTTCTTTCGCGTTATTCAATCGCGTCTCGCTAGAAATCTTTCTAACAGCAAATATTAAATACTTAATTTTTCTCACTGATTATTTCGGAAGATTAAGCAAAGAAATCTATCGAGCCTTTCTCGTTTAATAACCGTTCCCGTCGTATCGACATTCGTTGCACACGTGCATCGCTTACATAACTCGCACGATGCACTCACGTCTATGTTCGTACGTGATTCTATTTTCGGCAGGGCTGCGTTTCGTTGTCGAAACTTTGATCGACGGGCAACAATATTTATCCGTTGCTGAAACGCGGCCAATCAATTTATATGTTAAGGGTAATTCGTAAAATGAACGAACACGAGGAAAGCCATCGTTGTCATTGAACTTCAACATCATCCGAGGGTGAATAGATATTTTTCTATGAATGGAACGAATAATTACTGGCAAAGATTCGCTGAACAAACGTATCGCAACCGAGACTCTTTATTTTAATATGAAAGAACTGCTGACATTTGTTCCATAACTCGAAGGACATTTCTCGGAAAGATACGTCCGTATGGTCAATTGCACAGTTGACTCTTGGCCCTTGCCGCACTCTGTGCGACGCGTACCATAGTACCTCTGTTAATAACAGGAGCCGGTTAAAATTACCTATTACGTGTTCATCGCTTGTTTTCTTTCTACCGTTTCCATTCTATATTCTACAGGGTGTTACGCGGTTTAGAAGCACCGCTTCGAAGATGATTTTTATCTGGAAAATAGAGCAAGTTCTACTTGTACCGGTACACCGGGGTCGATCGTCTGGAAGAAGTTAAAGATCCTTTAAAATTCTTCAACTTCTTCGCTATGCCGTCGTTACCGTGCTGCAGGAACTCTGGTCGTTACGTGTGAGAAATATGGTGAATCCAGTTGGTTCCCACAAGCATGTGTAGCCATGTAGGAATAATATATGAAGAAGGGGAAAAGGCGCTTACCGACTTCCGTTGGAAATACTGATCTCCACTTTTTATGTTAGTATATCGATTGCCAAGTGTAGGAGTCTATTTATTTAAAGTGCTACTGCATATTACAGTTTTTTTTTTCTTTCTTTTTTATCTCAAGTACCGTTCGATTGCTAGCGTTTAGTCGAAACGTGACATATCTTCGAGGTCGTGTGATAATCCAACGATAAGGGATTTAATTTTCATTAGCTTAAGGTTTTTCTTCGTTGCACGCTTTGTTTTTCCTTCCGTCAGAATATCATGCAGTTTCTTCGATGCACCGGGTCTCCACGTTATTAACCCTCTTCTTTCGCCACGTCCTCGCTTGAAGCCGACCAAGTACCCTCGAGTACCGTCTTCTAATGGTGTGCACTCGAGGCCACCGACAATCTTAACACGCGGACGAGTTGTTGAAAAAAAAAAAAAAGAAAAAAAGAAGGAAAAATATGGTATATACGTTAGTAGCTCGACAGCAACCATTGTGTCCACCGCTCGTTAGGCTTCTTATCAACGTTCCGTTAATTTCGGGTAATCTACGGTACTACTTACCGATACAAAGAAATCGTCGGAATTATCATTTAGTTTTTCTTTTTTCAATTTTTTTTTCAGGAGTTTCCGGTTTC